GTGGTCAGGATGTTTCCTAGAGGGGCTGATAGGGAGAGTGACAAGTAAATTGGGTCCCTCTCTAGATTAAGGAATGCTTTTACTCTAGTTCCTTCCATCTCCCCCTGCTTTCCTCACTGTTTACCCAACCATATCCTGCTCTGTGTTAATCCTCATCTCTATGTTTTTTTGTCTTGTCTCATTATAAGGATTCATCAAACGCGAGGAAAAAGCCTTTGGAAACCGGGCACCGTTGTTCCAGCTCCTCTTCCCTCCCTGTCATCCATGACCCTCCTGTGTTTCTCCTTGGTCCCCAACTCTACCCATCCCAACCACAGTTCCTGTCCCCAGATGTCTTGATGCCCAGCGTGGCAGGGGAGCCCCATAGACCCCCAGGTAACTCTCCCCACAATCTACTATTATGTGCTGGAATGTGGTACATTTCCAGGGACTTGGAAGAATCAAATCAGTACACCTGTTGGGGGGTGGGGGAAGAGGGGTCACAGGTGGGGTTGTAAAGGGATATGAATGACTGCTTTAAAGATGAATTATGGTTGAATCATTTCTTGGGCAACATGGTCTAGACCAGAGCTCCCAGAATCTAACTACCCATGAAAATGAATTGCTTCAGTCATGATAGGATATGCTTTTAAGTGACCAAGGGGAGTTAATACCTAGTCTTTAAGATCCCCCAAAACAGGAAGTGTCATCTCTATCAGCTAGTTTCCTCTCCTTCTATCCCGAGTCTCAGTTGAGCGATGGTCTAGGACAGCGGTCCCCAACCTTTTTGGCACCAGGGACCAGTTTCGTGGAAGACAATTTTTCCACAGATGGGAGGGGCAGGGGGGATGGTTTGGGGATGATTCAAGCGCATTACATTTATTGTGCATTTTACTTCTATTACTATTACATTGTAATATATAATGAAATAATTATACAACTCGCCATAATGCTGACAGGAGGCAGAGCTCCAGCGGTAATGCGAGTGATGGGGAGTGGCTGTAAATACTGATGAAGCTTCGCTTGCTCCCCTGCTGCTCACCTCCTGCTGTGTGGCCTGGTTCCTAACAGGCCATGGACAGATAGCAGACCGTGGCTCCGGGGTTGGGGACCCCTGATCTAGGAGGACGAGGTGTGAATGGGAGACTTGGAAAGACCCTTGGAATATCCATGCCATGTATAGAGACCCAGACAATCCTGGGGAAGGTGGACAGTATCCTTTTGGCTTTGACCCTCCACAGCTAGATTTGTTCCTTTTCCTCCTTATGGGCTGAATCTACAGTTTAAGGCAGTGATTCTCAACGGGAAAGGGGAGGTGCTACTGGCATATAGTGGGTAGAAGGGCCAGGGATGCTGCTAAACATCCAGCAATGCATAAGCAGTTTCCTTGCACACCCCATCCCACCCCCAAAACAAAGAACTGTCAGCCCAAAATATCAGTAGTGCCGAGGTTGAGAAACCTGTCTGTGGATATGTAAATCCCCAGGGCAAGGGATGGTTGTCATTCTTAGAACAGAAGATAGAGTAGTATTGTTGATATTTGTGTCCAAATTTTAGGGAGCTTTGGATACGCAGGCCTTCTGGACAAATGGACTTCATATTACTCAGTGGAACAGCCAGGTAGCCAGCCTCCTTTGACAGTTATTAGGGGTATCTGATTAGTCAGGCAGCATTTATTGCAACTTGTTCTGCACCAAATGCTACAGTGAATACAGGGAAGAATGAAGGCAGCTCTCTGCTCTCAAAGAGCTCAGAGTTTCAACAGTCAGATATACATATGTGTAAGTATAGTACAGGTGTTGATGGAATTTTAAAATAAAGAATGAAAAATATTGTTTAGAAGTGATTTTTTGAAAATTAGTTATTTTGTTTCTTTTAAGTAAAGGGGAATCAATGTATAGAAAAGGCATTTCACATTATGTATGTGGGAGTGGTGCAAACAAAAGCAGAGATCTTGGAGAATGAGCAAGAATGTAAGCAGACACAGCTTAACTTCAGTGAAGGTACCATGTTCAGAAAAACTGAGTGATGTTTTGGAGTGGTGGCTCTTAAGGAGTAAAGTTGTCACAGTGAGAACATACATTTGCAATATTAGAGAGCCATTTGTGTGTGACTGTGTGTGTGTGTGTGTGTGTGTGTGTGTGTGTGTGTCTTTTGGAGGAAGGATTATAGTGCAGTGAGACAGAAGTATGGCAACATCCAGGAGACTGTTTCATTTGCACAGGTTGGAGGTAAGAGACTTGATTTTAATGTTTATTAAGAATTTTAAAAAATGAAATTAAAAGCAAAACTAGGTTCCTTCTTTCCCTTATGTGTATGTTCTTGGAGAGGTGGGGAGTTGGAAGGAACAGCCAGAAATGGTCTTCTGGAAAGGAGAATGGTTTTACTGAAGATGCTCAATCGTTGGGTTTCTTTTCTCTTCCCAGGAACTTCGAGGAGTGTCCAGCAGTTTCTGGCTATGTGTGACAGGGGTGAAACTTCCGAAGCGGTCAAGCACACAGGAAGGACTTTGAACTACCGGAGTCTCCCCCATCGAACCAGAACAGATGCCTCCTGGGGAGCATGGTCAGAGACCAACCAGCATATTGGCGCCAGATTCCTGACTACTCCAGGGTGCAAGCCTCAGCTAACTCACACTGCCACACTACCAGAGAGACACCAGGGCCTTCAGGTTCCTCATGCTCAGTCCTGGGAGGATCTTTTCCATTCACCCTCCCACCTTCCCATTGTTTACCCTGTGTCTCTGCCGTCAAGCAGTCTTCGTGTACCCCTGAGGTCAGCTTGGAATTCAGGTCCTGTTCCAGGGTTTCGAGCCCCTGGTCCTCGAAGAGTAGATATGCCCCCAGATGATGACTGGAGGCAAAGCAGTTACACCCTGCAATCTGGGCACAGGAGGACAGGGAGAGAGGAGTTTCTGTTTGTTCTAGCAGATGCCCCTGGAAGAGAGCAGATCAGGGCTAGAGCCATGCAGCACAGCAGGTGGTAAAGGTCACCCCTTTCCTCTCCTGGAGCCACAGCTTTCTCTGCAGAGTTGGTACCCTGCATCCCTGCTGGGGCTGTGCTAGTCTCATCTCAGCATAGAGTTGGCACCTTCTCCTAGGGGTGCCAGGAACCGCTAAAGAGACCTGGCTCTTTGAGAGGGAATATTTGAAATTCCAATTTCCATTCACCTAGCAAAAGGAAGCAGCTGCTGTTTAGGGCTTTATTTGACCCACCTTAAAGATGAATCCATATTACTCTGGACACTAGCCATTCCTTAGGATCTTAGGGTCACCGTTTTATTCCTGAATACTCTATGCCCCCACCTCCACCTGAGCCCTCGTATTCTGTTCCTTATTATATTACCAACTTCTTTGTTTTATCCACCTGTCCCTATTACCTGACCTTCTGTCTTCCCAATCCCCCATCCTTGGAGGGACATGTAGCCCTGTAGTCTTGGTCTTGACCACAACATTCAGGCTAACCCACCTGCCCAGATTGTCCCTCTGCCTTCAAACTTTTGGCCTAGAATGCGAGGCTGCCAACATAACAATTGCTCTTCTGAACAGAAGGAGTCAGGCACACTAACATACCCTCCTGTCCTCAGCAGCAGAGCCATTACTGCCACTCGCTCAGTCGCCGTTGTAAACCCTGAGAGTCAGCTGAACTATTTTAGGGCCAAACATACTGTTTTTGTAAAGTATTTTTCATTAATAAATCTATAAGATAGTTCTATTTAATTCCTTGTCACTTAATTGTCTATTTAATCCCTTTTGTATGCTCTTGCTCTTTTGTATTGGGGTGGGGAAGCCTGGAGAAGCAAGAAATACCAATTCCCAGTGGCCTGGGGCTCTGTATATGGCTTTTGACTGAGTGAAAGTGAGCAGCCAAAGAGGAATTGAAGGATAGTTGAAAGGTATATATTCAAGGTAGGAGTCAATGGGTCCTAATATGGAGTGACTTTCCTTGTTATTATTGCCACTAGTATATTTTCTATCCCTTTCCTGCCAAGAGGCACTCAACACATTACACACTTTCTCCTTCCCTCCTTAGGGAGATTTTCTGGGGATTCAAACTCCTCTTACAAACTCACTCCTGATCTAGGTACTCTTGGTGCCCTCCCTCTACAAGTTTGTGATGCGCCTCGTATCCTTTCCTTGCTCTCTTCCCATGGCTGCCCCTCCCCTTCCCCTGTGGAATTATTGCACTTCCATGCCAGAAAGATCCATTTTCACCCCTGCCTCACTCCCAAATTCACCTCCCTCTAAAAAATATTTTGTGAGTTCCCTTTGCAAAGAATACCCATTGGGCATTTCTCTTCCGTTTTACCCCAGCTCTCACGATCACTGAGATTGACGAAATGAAGAGGTAGAGAGGTGCTCTTTGAGACCTTTGAACAACTGCTTATCTAATTATCTCCATCTATTTTGAACACATTCTGAGCACATGTAGTATTGAGCAGGAGGATGCGCAGGCATTTCTCACCCTATGCTACTTGAATCCTATGCCATCAAGATATATAGATCTTAGTGGATATGCTGGTCTCTGTTCATGATCCAGTACCTTTCCTGGTGTCATACACACTTCTAATAATTATTGATTGAACAGTCAGTTCTTTTTTTTTTAAATTAATTTATTTTTGGCTGCACTGGGTCTTTGCTGCGCATGGGCTTACTCTAGTTGTGGCGAGCGGGGGCTACTCTTCGTTGTGGTGCACGGGCTTCTCATTGCGGTGGCTTCTCTTGTTGCGGAGCACAGGCTCTAGGTGTGTGGGCTTCAGTAGTTGTGGCTCTCGGGCTCAGTAGTTGCGGCATGCAGGCTCTAGAGCACAGGCTCAGTAGTTGTGGTGCACAGGCTTAATTGCTCCACAGCACGTGGGATCTTCCCAGACCAGGGCTCGAACCCGTGTCCCCTGCATTAGCAGGCAGATAGATTCTTAACCATTGTGCCAGCAGGGAAGTCCCGAACAGTCAGTTCTTGTCCCACTACTCCGTTCCCCATGAATGTCCGTCTCTATAAAGTTTCCATAGAAAACCTGGGCCCACATTTCTGTATATGCAGAGAAATATCCTGTGAGGTATTTCTTATGAGGAACTAATTTCCAGTTCCCTACTTACTCCTCTGCCTTCGGAATCTCTGTTTTCTGAATGAATCAAGAGGGAGGCTGTGTCCTTTTCAGGTGAATTCTGTACTCTTTGAACGTCTCGTGGTGTCATCCCTTTCTTTCCTCTTACGTGTTTTGATTCTTAACCCTTGGAGCCTAGTCTGCTCTACCTGCATTGTTACTCTGTGCCTCCAGACTCTTGACAGTTCCAGGCTCTAAACACAAGGGTCAGTCAGATTCTCTCTCAGACTCCATTCTGAACTGTTGCTTTGCTCTAGAATCTAGAATGCTTCCTCTATTTCTCCTTTCAGTTACCAACCAAAGTACCCGGATTCGGTAGTCAAATTGTTATATATTTTTTCTCTATTAGTAGGAGATTCTTAGGTTTGATCGTCACCCCATCTTACTGGGAGCTCCATAAAAGCTGGTGTCGTTTTCCCTAGCACTCATTCACCGCAGCAACTAGATGCAGACAGCCATCTCTTCTCACTCTTTTGTTTCTGCCTGCCCAGAATTTTCACCTGATCCCTTGGCTCGTCCCGTTTCTCTCCTAGCCTCAGTAATTTTGCCCAAGTCCCTAGAGCCTGCTCCGCCCCCGCCCCCGCACGCGCGGTGCATGCCGGTCTTAGCCCCTCTGTAGGGAAAGAGGGTCCGCCATGTTCCCCGGCGGCGCCGCCGCTTGGCTCTGGTAGCCGCCGCCCCCGCCCCCAACCCCGCCCGGCCCAGCGCCTAGCCGAGCCCCGGGCCCAGCATGGCCGCCCCGGAGCCGGCCCGGGCTGCACCGCCCCCACCCCCGCCCCCGCCGCCCCCTCCCGGGGCTGACCGAGTCGTCAAAGGTGAGAGGTGGACGAAGCCCTGAGGGCCTGGCCTGAGGAGGTAGCTGTGTGAGGGCGGGCGGGAGACCGTCCCCTCCGGAGCGGGCCCGGAAGGGCGGGCGAATGACTGGCTGCCTCCCTTGGGGAGTGGCCCCTGGGCGGGCCCCTGCTGGGCTGGGCTGAGTCGGTGGCGGCGGCTCCGCGGTCTCTCGCTTGCCTTCTGGCCGTGGCGGGGGTTTCGCCCTGGGGGGGCCTCCTAGCCGAAGGGGTGAGGCTACTAGTCGCAGAGCACCTTTCTTTTCCTGCCCGGTCTGTCAAAAGCGGCCCAAAGGCCGCGATTAGCTTCCTGCACCGCGACAGCTGCACGCCTGGCTTGCCTGGGCGGACCGAGGGGCTCGGAGACCTTCAGCCACGCGGCGCCGGGCGATGAGCAGTCAGAAATCACCTCGGCTTTGGCCCACGTCTGCTCCCCAATGACAGCCGTCTGCCCTATTCGCGCCTAGTTAGCGCCAGCCGCAGGGGTTCGGCCCTCAGGTGTCACCCCGCGCGGAAATTGGGGGAACTGTATGGGATCGGACAAGGGTGAAGGGACGAGCCAGAATTTGGGGGCCCCGGCTTTAAGTGCAGAATAGATGGAAAAAAGACAGCATAAAAGAGAAAAAAGCTTCAGGGATAGGAAGAAGCATTTACGTAGAAAACCGTCAACACTTTTTGGTCAGAGGCCAAGAGGGGTTAGCCCTCCTTTGCAGGCAGACACCCACACACTCCCCCTAGAAGAAAAAATTAAATATTTCTCAGCTGGTGCAGAATTTATGGTTGTTTAACGACCACAGGTCAGCAGATTAATTTAAAATAGAGAAATTGAGGGCTAATTGAGAGTTGCTTAAGATTTCCACGCTTTCTGGGAGAGCCCATCAACTTGAAGCACTGCTGCGGAGGTGAAAAACATAATTTGAAATGATTTTTCTTTATCCTGTAGCTTGGTCAGTAAATTGAAATCATTTTAGAATAAAGGTTTCGTTATTGTATCACATTTATTTTTGAAAGATAGATACTTTTATTTGTTTTATTTATTTATTTAATTCAGCTTCTTAAGTATACTGGCACAATGTAAACACTGTTAGCCCAGTTTTGGAAATCTGACTAGACATGTTTCCATTAAAATATTTAAAAACAAGAAAAACTTTTTCCTTTGTGTTTTTTTAATTTTAATTTGTCAATTCGAGTCTCCTTTAATAATAATAACACTAATTTGTATCTAGGCTATGTAGATAATTTAAAAAACTTAATAGTATATCTTTTCAGGCCAGTTATTGGAATGAACTTAAAAAAGAGTTTATGGAATCCTTGTCCTGAGAAATCTTTTAAAAAAGAGAAAGAAAAATGATTGGTAGTTCAGGCATTCATCCTATTGTGAAATCCTGAAGTTCTGTGGGGGTGGGAATAGGAGACATGGGCTGCCTGTTAATTTGCTGACAGTATACTTGTGCTGTCTGTTAATTTCCCTGGGTACTTTTCACCCTACTATTAGATGGGACAACCAGTCACATTGCTGAACAGTGAGTTTATGCTCTCCTTATGCTTGTGAATCTTCTTGTTTCTTGTCAAATATGTGGTAATATTTCCCTTGTACTGCTTTAATACAGTAAAAATAAGATTCCAGACATAAGGCATATTCCTTAGGGGTGAGTTTTGAATGCAAGACACAGTCATGTTTGCAGTTTATTGGTATGAAATAAAAGTCACTTGATTTAGGTAAATAGGAGTTTGTTGGTAAGAAAATTATAGTTTAGTAGAGCTCATGGATATAAGATCTCATGTGCTTTGTAGTATATTCTTCAAGACAATTTTCTTCATGGAATTTGTTAGCTAGTTGGAATGACTGATATGGATCACATGCTTTAGATATAGTGTGCAACAGACTGGTTTGTGCTGCTCATGGAGTCTCTTGGCTTCCTTGGAAGTTACTGGGAAACTTACCTTTCGTATACAAATCTCCTTTTAGATTTCATCTTCAAGCTTTTCTTGTCTTTCTCAGTCAATAATTGTACTCTCATGTTGCATTTGATGACAAAGAACACCAGTTTCCTGAAGATATATGACCACAGTGCTAGTTCAACTTAGGTTTAACTTGTTAAAAATCCAGATTTCTTTTAAGTCCAGTATGTGCTAGTTTTGCATCAGTACCATTTCATAGTAGTGTTATGGAGACCATCGTTGACGTTGAATACAAGTAGTCTTTTTACTCCCTGAAACTTTTCCTTGTTGTCTCTAAATTTTATACTCTTACACTTCTAGTCAGGAGGCCTATATTTTATGGTCACATAGGTTTTGAAGGGGAAGTAGGTCTTTCTGTATTTAATATCAAATGCCTGAAATTCACATCATGTGAAGTTTGAGATCTTGGGATACTATAGGTGATTCATGTATAAATTATTCACTGAAATTATTAGTGGTAATTCCATATCACTGATTATGGGTGATTAGGTTTCCTGGTTAGTTAAAGAAGTTCAGTTCTAAGCCTGCTCCAGCTGCTGGCTCTGGTCAAATTCTGTTGGAAAGTTGGTGTAGCCCAAGTGGTTTAGGTGAGATAGTATGCCCTCTTGACAATTTTCTGTTAAGCATTTTTCTATCTTTAGCTAAGATAGGAAGTTGAAAATAAGAAAATAGAAACAAACTAGGAAAAACAGCTGATTGTATTGGCGTGAATGCCTTATTGACACATCAGCAAAATTGGTGTGTGTAATTTAAGCATAAAACCCTGAATTTATGTATATTGCTCTCCCTCCTCGCCCGGAAATTTGCTTGGCCTGAATTGTTCAGATACTTCCTTTTCTTTCCAGATACTTTTAAAATGTACTTTTTGCCGTATAGATCAGGTCCCAGATTTGTAAAACTAGATTATCCCTTGAGATTATTAAATCTATTACTCCTGACACAAAAATTCACCTTTATCACTTAGAATGCATTGTCTATATTGTGTATATGTTCATTTTAGCACCCACAATGTGACTCTCTTTTGCATTCAACATGTTTTCTTTATTTCATAGGTTATATTATCCTTATCTCTTAAATTATCAGACTTTCAGATTGAACCAAAATGCTAAAGAGTGTGTGTTGTAGGTTTTTTAGCTATTATATATCTGATGGGCAGCCTTATGATTCATTTAGGTTCTGTTGCCAGCTGCCCTGCTTATAAATCTGAGGCTAACATGTTTTCCAGTACCTTAGCTTTATTAGGATTGCTTATTTTCATTACAGATTTTTAGATGACCCACAAAGGTCTCGGGGTCACATAGCTACTTCAATGTTTTTTACTAGTTCTATTTCATTATATTTTAAAGCAACTTGCATTTTAATTTTTGTTTACAAAAGCTATTTTGTGGACTTACCTATCTAAAAAATATAACTCTTGAAAATGATTTTTCTTTTTCTTTCCACCTTTGTTAAACTGTTCAGCATACTAAAATAAATCTTCAGTACCATGTGTCCTATAGAAAGCAAAGGAACAGAGAATATTGTGTGTGTGTGTGTGTGTGTGTGTGTGTGTGTATGAGAGAGAGAGAGAGAGAGGGAGAGAGAGAGAAAGGGAGAGAGAGAGAGAGAGAGAGAGAGAGAGAGAGAGAAAGAAGGAAAGAGAACACTGGCAACAGGTCATCTTAGAAGGAAAATGCCAAGGAGGAAAGCTGTTCAGTAGTGAGGCAAAAGTTTTAGGTTCGGAGCTATTGAATGAATTGGTAAGAGTTATAAGGAAAAGTTTGGTGAAAGAATTTTGATTTATTAGATGAGGTGTGTTTTAGTGCCAATCATATGACTTCATTTCATTATAAAAATGTTTATTTATACACAGAGATGAAATAAGCTAAAGCTAATTGGCATCCTTGTATGGTATGTAAAATTTATTTTGGAAATTCAGAGTAATCAAATAGCAAATATTTATTTAATGCCTGCTGTATAGCTAAAAACTGTAGGGAAACAACAGAAGTGTGAAAGATAAACTACAGTCTTGGTCCTTGGGGAAATAAGTACTCATAAAAAGTTAATCATTTATGTCATAAGGCTGGGTGTGATTAATAATTGCCAGATAAGTGGCAGACCCAGCAAGCTGAGTTCAAAGAAGGTAGTGATGATTCTGGACTGGAGTGGTCTAGCAAGGGTTTGTATAGGAGGAAAGAGGTCTTGAAGAATGGGTAAGATTCAAATAAGCAAAAGATTGGGACCATTTATTTGTGCAACATTTATCGAGTATGTGCTTTGTACCAGACATAATACTAGGCATTAGGGATACAGAATTGAAATAAGTAAGATAGATTCTCTTGGAGGCAGTCTGGTGGGGGAGACATTGTTGCAAATAAATAATATAATGAATTAGATACAAAGTGCTGTTGGAGCTGTAAAAAAGGAATTAACTGTCTTAACTGGAGGGAAACTTTACTGAAAGGATTATGTTTTGAGCGGAGCCTTAAAGGATGAGTAGAATTTCTTCAGATATAAGGTAGGGCTGGGATAGAGAAAATATTTTCTGGTAGAGAAAACAGCAGCAGAAAGGCATGGAGTTTGAAAAAAGCATGAAATATGTGACAGTATTGTGTGAAGTTCTTGGCAAGCAGGAGATGAAGTTGGAAAGGATTTTTTGTACACCAAGTTGAGGATCTGAAACTTAAGCTAAGCAGTATAGCCTCTGGATAATTAAGAATACTGGATGATTAAGCCTCTGGAGTCAGACTGCCTGGGTTTGAACCTAGTTCTACTTTAACCTTTTCACTGAGGACAAGATACTTAATATCACCAACCCTCAATTTTCTCATCTGCAAAATAGAGTTAATAATATGGGATTTTTGAAGGATTAATAGAGACAATTCATGTAAAATTTGTACCGCAGTGCCTGGCCTGACACATGGTAAGTACTCAACTAATGATAGCCATTACCATTACTATTATTGAAGGTTTTAAAGTAAAGGAATGACCCAGTATTTTGGTTTTTGAAAGCTAACGTGATATTGTGTAGAATGAAATATTAT